TCTCCCCTATTACTCTTATTTCATAAATCGAAAATATATAACCAAAATAACAGAAAATTAAATAATAGACCGTGTGATTTACGCTGTAATACGACAAATTGGGAAACTGAAAAATGATTTCCACCGATTCTCTGCGACTAACATTTTAAAATACTTAGATCAAAATCAAGTGGTTCAGTGATTTAAGAAAATTGGAAGGTTGACGGAGAAAACCATTCTTATACTTACTCGTGCAACAGTTAAGTTAAAATCTTCTTCTGCATAGGTTGTATCCTTTCAATGAGGAAGATAGTGCATTTGTGTGGTTTTAATTACCAATGTAATGGTTTCCATAGTATTATGATATCGATTCACTGTTTCAAATGGAAATTCTTTATCTAGACTGACGCACAGTCCTTAGCGACAGAGAAAATAAGTTCTATGGCTAAAGATCGTACTGTTATACAGAATAGCTTCCGAGTTAAGATTGTCTGCCATTCTTAAAGGCCCCGTCAGGGGTGATGCCAATATACAGGGTGTTTCTTAATAACGTGCTAATATTTAAGGAGGTTATTCTTGGGTCCAATTTAAGAAAAAAACTTCATATGAACATATATCGTAAGAGTCTTAACTTTTGAACTAAAGGGGGTTAAAGTTTTATGAAAAAACATTTTTTTTATAACTTTTGTATTACCTACCCTAGATATTTTTTCAAATTCGATACACGCCTTCTATTCATCGAGATGCATTTTCTGATGTACAAACAATTTTATTATTTTTGCCAGTTGCGTCTGTACAGGTTTTGTATTGAATATTTTTTTTAAGCAAAAATATGTTACGCAACTGCTTTTTCTTAAAGTAAAAATCATATTTGAAATCCTCATTCCTTTCTGAGCAAATATGATGTCTTAAATTTTTTTAGTTTGACGTACGGTTTTCGCATAAAAAATAAATTTAATTCACTTGCATCTTATTGGACCACTTACGAGAGAAAAAAAAAAGATTTATGTAACTTTGAACAATAATTTATTTAAGATAATAACTTTTAAACGTCGAAATTATGAAGTTACAGTAATCTACATACATTTTGGAATGGTAAGAGAAAATTACCCTGGCGTAACATATTTTTCTTCAAAAATATTCAATACAACACCTGTACAGACGCCACTGGCAAAAATAATAAAATTGTTTGTACATCAGAAAATGCATCTCGATGAATAGAAGGCGTGTACCAAATTTGAAAAAATATCTAGGGTAATACCAAAGTTATCATAAAAAATGTTTTTTCATAAAACTGTAGCACCCTGTAGTTCAAAAGTTAAAACTTTTAGGACATATGTTCATATGAAGTTTTTTTCTTAAAATGGACCCAAGAATAACATCCTTAAATATTAGCAAGTTATTAAGAAACACCCTGTATATTGTTTATATTTTTTTTAGACTAATTTATTGCTAATATGGCAACAATGCACCATTTTTTGGCGCTTCCATTTGTGAAATGATTTCTTTTAGTCATTAAGACAAGTTAAACTTGCATATATCTCTCCCCCAAACAAGGTTATATTCTTTAATTACTTTTATCGCTAATGTTTCGAGTATTATGAATTGGTAAGAGAATGGACCGTAAAAGGAGTTTTACGATATTTTTTTCAAGTAAACTATTTTTTCATTTAACAAGGGATATTGACAGTTCACAAAATCAGTAAAAAAATTGAGCCATAAATTAATCATTCAGATAATGAAGGTTCTAACTGAAATACATTATGAATATTCAGTTGTTTCCTAAGACTTTTTAGCCAGCAACTTGAACCTACTGTCCGATTTTGTATTTAAATAAAAGATAACAGAGTATACAACAGCATTCTTTCCAGTAGAAAAGACGAATCCTAAAGACCTAACGGAAAAAACGCAAGTCTGGTGATTAACCTTAGCTCTCCACAGATTTTGTGCAGTTTTATACTACAGAACTGAGTGGTCATCCTTTACAAAATTTTCTCCACACCCTGTACTTAATTAAGAAAACTCTTCCACTAAAATTGAAAAAAGTCTTCCCCGGAATGAAGGCTAAGTAAGTTCTTTATAGGATTTGAAAGCTAACACTCTTTCATTGTCCTATTCTCCCGTTCCATCAACTAGATAATTTATGTGTTACTAGGAAAGTGCTAGCCTTCCTCGGTCGATTTCAATAAAATCTCCCTAAGCAATATTTACAACCACTCTTTGGATAATGGTTTGAGTGCTACACCCACTCTAAGAAATTTACATTCGTATACGTAGCCTTATGGCACTACTCTTCTACTAACTTGGACTAATGGATGAAAAATAATAAGTGCTTTACTTTTCTAGACTTGATATAATATGGGCATTCTTTGTAATAGCGTGTATGACTGAACTACTAAGTCACCTCCTGTAAATTACTGGGTAAAACGTTTTTATTCGCCAGTATGCTATCAGTGTATGTAGTTAATTTTATAAATTACTTACTGTTACAATCACAATCAGATCACTGTTACAATTGTCTATTGTTATAACAATAATAATTACCAAACATTATATTAATTTACGGCGAATGTTGTCAAAACACTGCAAAGGCATCGTAATTGCATACAAAACGTTACTCCAACCAGGTTCAACCTCTTCCTCTAGGATTTGTAAAAGTGGTTCAAAGGATCAGGGATAGTGATAATGTAATTATCAACAAAAGTGACTTTCTAGTAAGAAATCTGACAGCGTTGAAAAATGTTCAGTCAGACTTCTTCAGGGTGGTCCGAATTTTATGCAGGAAACTTCGAGCGCGCATAGATCTCTTTAAAATAATAGGTGTTTGCCTTATAGACATAGGTCTGGAACGGCCCTGTTTTAGAGATACAGGGTGTTGAAGTTGTTACAAAAATTGATTTTTTGTTTATATCTCAGGAATCTATTAACCGATCTCAATAAAATTTGGTACAGATAATGTATGTCAGTAGGTCTTGCATTCTCGAATATGAGCTGTAAAGGTTCAACCAGTGATGTACAACTGGACAGGGATCACCCCCTTTTTTATAAAAAAAAAACTTACGCCACTGCATTTTTTACAAGTTATTGGATTTACCAATACAATCCGCTTGTGGCAGATACTTCTAACTATAATATTACAAGAATATTTATGTTTATACTTAAAAGTAAGTACAATTTGTAAGCACATCAACAAAATTATTTACACTCGTTTCCAAACCACTTGTGAGGTGGAGTTCCTGGCTCGTTTTAGTTTACCCTGGAAGCCTAATCCACTATCATTAGAAATAAAAACAATTTAAATCAAACTAATAATAAATGTATATTTACCAAAGGCAAGGAGTACTGAATTTTCACAATCTTCATACATATTTGGTCACAAGAAAATCCTCATGAAATTCGGACAAGATCTTTTCAACATAAATTTTCTGTTAACGTGTGGCTCGGAATAATTCGCAATACTGATTGTGGACCTTTCTTCTTGCCACCCCGTATTTGAATTATTAGAGGATGTTCCATTAAATATACGAAAAAATATCTGGATACAATGGATGGTGCTCCTGCGCATTCCGGAAGAATAATATAAGAATGGCTTAATGAAAACTATATGGCGGTGGATAGGTAGAAGACCAAATGCCAATGTCTACCATAATGGTGCAGAGGGTCTAGTGTCTTGGTCAACCAGATTGCCCTTATTTAAACCCTCTGGGCTTCTATGTTTGGGGTTATCTGAAAAGTAAAGTTTATTCTACTCCAACAGATACAAGACCACAACTAATGCAACAAATAGAGGACGGGTGTAAGAAAACCACTACATGATATTAGCTTCAATTATTTCCATTAATAGAAGATGCCAGATATGTATCGATGTGGGTGGTTCACATTTTGAACAATTGTTGTATTTACAACTTAACATTCATTTTATTTCTTCTTTAGTTGCTCTTGCTTGGAAAATATATTTTTATTATTATTTTGATTTAATTTGTTCTTATTTGTAAAGGTAGTAGATTAGGCCTCCAAGGAAAACTAAAACCCACCAGGAACATTACCTCACAGGTGATGTGAAAAGGAGTGTAAAGAATTTTGTTGATGTGCTTACAAATTACTTTTAAACGTAAACATAAATATTCTTGTATTATTGTTAAAAAGTGTCTGCCACAAGATGAGTATTGGTATGCATAACTTGAGAACGGCGTATCTTAGGGAAAAATTCAAGTTTCCTTTTTTACGTATTTTGTGCATTAGAATATAAATCCGTTACAATAACTTGTAAAAAATGCAGTGGCGTGGTTTTTTTTATAAAAAAGGAGGTGACCCCTGTCCAGTTATACACCACTGGTTGCACCTTTAGAGCTCATATTTTAGGGAATGCGAGGCCTACTATCATACATTATCTATACCAAATTTTATTGATTTATTAATAGATTCTCGAGGTATAAAAAGAAAATCATGTTTTTTAACAACATCAACACCCTGTATCTCTAAAACGCGGCCGTTCCAGACCTATGTTTATAAGGCAAATACCTATTATTTTCTGCATAAAATTTGAACCACCCTGTACAAAGAGATGTATTCCACGAAATATGGTTGTGACGTTCAAATAAGTCTATTTTATTTTGCACTAAAAGTATTGCCTATCAATTTAATAAAACGAATATATTTTGATTTAGTTCCTACTATTCCTTTTTAATAATAACATAGTTTGTGTCTGATCACCCTGGTCATGTTTTTGAACAAACATTGAGAAAAACTACATTTATAAATTCATTTTATTAATTTAACAGAAACGTAATGCCATTAGCAAATTTAGTAATGAATTATGTCTGTGGTTGTACATAGGTATCTAATCTAATCTAGTCTGTAATGCGTATTATGGTAACACATTTAAGAAAATCAATAAATGTATCGTTTATGACTATTATTCAATGACCAAAATTACTCTTCTTCTTCTTCGTAGTCCTGTTCAATTAAATATTTAATGAAAATTACTCTTATTAAGTACTATTTTTATTTATTTTTTTTAGTGAAACGTGCTCATCCATCAGATTTACTAACATCAGAAGAAAATGGAGGCGACGTACCATATTACAACAAACCTTCGGCAATCAAAAGAGGTTAGTATATATTTACACTAATATAAAGTGGCTGCAAAGCATTACCGCCAATATATTTCAGTTAGTATTGGAGATACAGTTTCCGAATTTTTTAAATTTATTTAGGACGTATCCAGAGTTATAGTCCATACGATATTTGTTGAGATAGAATTCCAAGAAAAGAATAAACCAATAAAGTTCTGTTATCGGAACTTCTTTAACAATTTACCGCAGGGGCATGCTCTGAAATTTTCCGCCAATGTCTTTCTACCACGGGTGTCAAATGTGGTTAATTCTAAGAAAGTGACGCAGAGGTCTTCTTCGAATTCTATCTCAACAAATACCGTACGAACTATACAGGGTGACAGAGAAAAAAGTACAATGCATAGTAGTTTTTTTTTTATTTGCAAAAACAATGATAAATACTTCAACAATTAAATTTTAATGGTATGATGAAAAATATGATTAATTAAAACAAAACATTAAGTTTTTAGAAGATGTTCAAATTGTTGCCCTTGTACTTCAATACATTTTTCCATTCTTCTTCTTAATGATTGACGGCATCTTTGAAATATTCCTAGGTTATTATGAAATCTATCTGCCGATTCCATAATTCTTATCCATAATTGTTCTTCATTATGTATTTCTACAGCATAAACTTCATTTTTCATAAATCCCCAAAATGAAAAATCGAGGGGATTAAGGTCGGGACTACGAGCTGGCCAGGGTACAGGCCCCCTTCGACCAATCCACCTATTTCCAAATCTCCTGTCCAAATATTCCCTTGCCACTCGAGAAAAGTGAGCTGGCGCCCCATCATGCATGTAATACATTCTTCCAATAATGGCCAATGGGACATCCTCTAATAATGTGTTTAAATCATTCTCCAAGAAATTTCGATACAGTGCACCTGTCAATCGATTGGGCAATCGAAATGGGCCAATTAAGTAATTGTCGATTATACCTGCCCACACATTAATAGAAAACCCATATTGGTGACTCCGAATTATAGTTTGATGAGGATTTTCATCACTCCAATGGTGCATGTTATGTAGGTTCAGAATACCATCACGACTAAAACTAGCTTCGTCAGTAAACAAAATTGATGAAATAATGTTTTCTCTTTGGTTTTGAAACCATTCGCAAAATTGTACACGAGGAACAAAGTCATGTTCCAATAGTGAATGAATTTTTTGGAAATGATATGGGCGAAGAAGTTGTTCTTTGAAAATTTGTCTAACTGATTCACGGTTAAGGTTTCGCACCGCTGAACTTGTTTTCCTGGTGCTTGTTCTCGGATTATTTTCTACCATTCGTAAAACAGTTTCTTCGTTTCGCACAGTGCGACGAGTTCTGGAAACCCCACTATTCAATTTTGGTTTTCTAAAACAGCCATCTTCTCCCAAACGCCTATGCACATCAATAAATGTTCGAACATTAGGAACTTGTCTTAAAGGATATCTTTCTCGATAGATACGTTGAGCTTCGTAAGAATTTGATCTAGCTTCGCCGTAACACATAATCATGTCCCTGTATTCTTCAAAAGTGTAGCGAACCATTTTTGAAAGCAATTTTGAATAATCAGTGAGAAAACCAATGAAAAACTTAATCAAGAACACAAAATACCTCTAACAATTATTATATTAGTTTGACAAGTGTCATTATGACACATTATTTAATTGTTATTTATCATTGTTTTTGCAAATGTTACTTTGGCGCTTTTTGAATAATTTGCGTGCATTGTCGGCTTTTGTACTGGAACCATTGCTTCTAGCGACTTGGACAAGGTATACCTTTCTTACGTATAAAGAAGGGATAACAAATTTTTTTCAGTCGAAAATGACATACAGTGTATAGCAAAAAAGTTAGGACCGATTCAATAGATATGGAACCCTGTATGTAGCGCCTTCTATCAGTAATCACAAAACTAAGATGATATTTGAATTTAGCATGATAAAAAAACCCCTGTATACCACATTTTATCCATTTCTTGCGTCTCTGGCTAAAGATATTCAAAAAAAAAACCCAAACAAAAATAAAATTCAACACCCCGTATCTTTTAACCGAAGGCCTTGCAGACCCATGTTCATAGGAACTTTTTTTCTTATTTTAGTGTCCTCTATTGTGTGGCACTATGCAATGTACTTTTTTCTATGTCACCCTGTATAATTAATACAGTTTGAACTGATACCAAGATATTTAAGAAATAAAAAGAGAAAGACGACACTATAGGCGGGTGAAAGAGCGAATAATGTTTTTCGAAAAATAGCTATTTATATAAACGTATCATCCCTGCTTAGCTCAAAGATGGTTTAAGATTTATGAAGGAGTGAATAGTAATCAACATAATGAAAACAAAACGTTTTTCTATGTTTCTTTTAGCTGCTCTTGAACTACGTTCAACATAACTGACACAGTTAGCGAACTGTAAAAAATACTGCTTATTAATATGAAACGACAAATTGTTTACAATCAAAGTACAATGGGTCTCGACTCTTTTTGCCCATAGTGAACTTTTCCAAAAGTCAGTACTCTAAATACAATACGCAAACAATAAAAAGATAATGTGATTTCCCATTTCTTTTTTCAGTATTTTGTGAAGTAGGTACCTACTTAATACATATTTTTTTTCATTGTCGATCATTTTTGTACAAAAAAATATACAAAATATTTATATATTTTATACGTAATTTGGGGAAGTTTTCAACTATTTCTGTAGCAACTGTAAATACGAAAAAAAACATCCTACCATTTAAATTAAAATATATATTTAATGAAAATCTCTTCTGCAGTGCACTTTACTATTTTGTTGCAAATACTTTAAAAATAAACATGGTGCTTTTATGAAAAACAATATTTTTTTGTTGAGAAAGTCAGCTAATACCGTTTAACCTATGCTCTCATTTTCAGATAAAAGTGGCGTTTAGTTCATAAAAAATTATTTCGTAAAAGATTATTAGGCAACTGTAATAAGTATTATAATATGTATAAAAGTGGCTAAAATTGTCTTTTTAGCACAAACCATTGAATTACTGAAGTCGTACTGCTGACTCGTAAATAGGGTTTAATGTTTTGTTTCCTTTGTGAAAATAATACGTGATTTAAGATAGAAAATGTCAGAATTGTGTGTAGGAACTGCTATTTGTTGAAATAGCTCAGATAATAATGAACCCAAGCCGACCTAACCCCTGACCTAAAATGTAATATACTCTAACGATTTCACAAATTATATTCTATGAAATAAGTTACATAACTAGAGAGAAATACGAACTTTCCTAAAATGTAATATAATGATCAATTTTGTTTTCCCTACAGACTAACATTAATAAATTCCATTATCGTTTCAACAGAATGTAATATAATATTTTTAAGTATAAAATTATGATGTACCAGGGTTGGCCATCTTTGAAAAAATAAAATGTTGGAGTTCGAAAATGTACGCCATCAGTACAGTTCGGGAGACAAGATTTCTAACAGGGGCTCACTCACATCTTTTTTGCGAAACTCATTTTTTCAAAAATGTCATTTCAAAATAATTTCTCATATTATATGCTGCTACAGAAGCAATACAACATGTTAACTGCCGAAATACTTCAACCGAGAGTGTTGTGAGGTCACGGGCACGTGGTGACAAATGTCCAAAAATATTTTTTTGAGCACTTGTGCGTCTCAAAAAATTTTCTAAAAATTGGTTGATCAAGAAAAATTTGAGAAAATTACTGTCCAAATATGGGCTTTTTAGGGTCTATTTAAAAAAGCGTTTGAGTTGAGTTTTTATTTTAGCAGTACAAGTTACCATTAAATCGTAGACGTCGAAATGTTACTTCAGAAACTTGTTAGTGTATCTTAGTAGTAATTTACTTGGAATAATTCATGAAAAATAATATATTATTACTAGAATATTAATAAAACATTCATTTTCGATTGTTATAAAGCCACGGTTTTTCGGTAAAACGATACACTATACCGATTTTCAACAAGTATACCTTTTTTATGTAGAATTGTCCTCGGAATCTAAAAATGAATCCCAAATGATTATTAGGTCATTGGCGTAGAAGTTGGGGTAAAAAAAATCCCGCCTTATTACCCATTCCTACGCCACTGACCTACAAAAATTTGTAAATTTTACAGTAAATTATGCACATGTGTAAATAACATCACACCAAATTTGAATCAATTTGTTACAAGAATACCAGAGATTTCGTAAATAATATGGATTTAACAACCGACCAATACGGCCCTGTACAGCGAAAACGGTGAAACTTAGACCCTTGCTTCATAAGTCAATTCTGAATTATTTATTGAGTTCTATTTGTGGTTAAAGTTTGATTCACTCGAACTGAAACACCGTGTATTATGTAAATAAATGTTTCCAAATTATTACAAGTTGTTGTAAAAAAAAGAAGCAATATATTCTCTATCATACTTACTTATTCAGAAAATATATATTCTTACCGCAGTTTTTTCCAGATTATTAAGATTTTGACAAAACCTAAACATTTCTAATCCTGGAGTTGATCTCCTACTTTGTGGCAGTTGAAATAAACACATTTAAGTACAGACATTTTTTTAAATTAAAATAGGTTAGTTAGGTACCTATGTATTATTTGAAATTCTTAGTTAAAATGCACATGATGTAAATTCGAATTTAAAATGGAATGTTTGCAGTAGTGGGGATAGGCATTGATAAAAAAAGTGTACAATATAAATCTATAAGTCCGGGTAACAACATTGCTAATTATGCGTTGCTAGGATACGCATAAGCATCGTCTAGGAGTGCCGGCCGCTGCATCTGAATCTTCCTAAAATTCTTATGGAGGTGTACTCTATCGGCAATTCGGAAATTTTAAAATGCTGTCCTATTTCAAACGCAGATTATTGCGTTAATTACTTGGTCTGTGGTTTGAACTTCTTTTCTACTCGGATTTGGTTTTGGAGATTTGGCAATTAGTTCGTAAAAGATGTACAAACAGCCCTTACTATGCCTTTGTCAAGTAAATACTTAGTATCATCATTCGGTT